TGGGGAGACACCCTGGGACTTTTACAGAAACATCAGACTGGAGGAGACAAAGAGACGTGACAACTAAACACATTGTGGGGCCCTAGACTGAAGCGTAGAACGGAAAACAGACATTAGGGGAGAAAATGACCAAGCTCCAACAAGCTGTGAAGTGGACAGAATTCACCACTGGTAATTACCTGGTTTTTGCAGGAGTATTTGATTATATAAGATGCCAACACTGGCGGGACTGCGGGGAGGACATAGAGGAACCCTGAACTGTTTTGGAATCATTCTAGAAGTCTAAAATTATTTCAAAATGTTCCGTAGATCAGGTGGGGCGTCAGAGCCCAAGTCTCTCGCAAGCTCCCGGCAGTGCTCAAACGGCTGGCCCCTGGGCCACTTTGCCAGCAAGGCCCGGCAAACACGGCGCTGACAAATCCCACCAGGGACACTTTCAAATGTAACCGTCACTCGGAGTCCCCACTCACCGCCACGGCACTGCCCCTCAGTGCGCTGAGCAGCTGGCGGGGAATGAGAAAGAACAGCTGTGCTACGATGCTGTCCACTACTGGCCTTTCCCGTCACCCGGGTACACCCCCAACGCTGCAGGCCAGGGAACAGCTGGCAGGAACTGCACCCCCATTGTGACACCCACACTGCAGCTTGGAGGCAGGCCAGGGGCTGACGGCTAGGCATCACCAGGGCCACAAGAGGGCCGGTGAGCTGAGGCAGTGGGAGCGTTCCTGTTCCAGATTGAGCGGGTGGCACAGGTATCCTGGCTCATCCCAAAGAGTTAACAGGGCTTTGAACCAGTTCTTCCCAGTTCAGCCACAACCAATGAAGCAAAACCAGAACAGACTCAAATTAGTAAAACTAACCAGAATGGGAGGAAAAGAAAAACCCAAAGCCCTGCTGGAAACTGAATGTGCGTTGTATAGCAGAGGTGGAGACAACGGGGCTCAGCTCACACGTGGCAGCCGCCAGCCACACCACTTTGAATGTCCCACTAGTAATCCAATCTCCCATGTCAGGCTCCCGCAAGGGCTCACTGTGCCTCTTCAAATTCTGCCACTCTGGGGCTTTGCTCCCTAATTTTTCCCATTCCAGTTATCATTCTGCTTCATGTAAATTTTAAAATTTTGTGTCTGTTCTGATTTTGCTTTATTGACCAGACGAAATCAGTTAAAACTGGTTCGAAGCCCTGGTTTTGAATACAGTTTAAATAAACCCACAAGGAAGAAGAGAGGCGGGTGAGGGTTCACAAGAGGCTGTGGGAGGCCACTGACTAATCCTGCAAAGAGTGGGTCTGCCCAGTGAAGAACTCAGAAGTCACAGAAGCCTGCAGCAGCCCATGACCCAACACACAGGGCCATCACGGGAAAAGGAGAGGTGAGTCCACAGATGGAATTGTGGGGGTCCCTGTCCAAAGACTGACTCCCCCAAGGCCCCTGCAGACAAAGCAGAGAAGCCCCCAGGCAAAGGAGAAGGGTCTTCCTCGAAGAAATGGAAAAGCCCAGAGAAAATAACTGCCCCTTAGAATTCAGGGTCCCTAGCATGGGAGCTCTGGTGGCACAGTGCCTAAGGAGCTCGACTGCTAACCAGAAGGCTAGCAGTTCAAACCCACAGGCCAGTCCTAGAAAGGAAGACTGGGCAATCTACTTCCATAGAGATACTGCCTCGGAAACCCAAGGACGGGTCGCTATGAGTCAGATCAGATTCGATGACAGTGAGTTTGGTTTCTAGTTTTAGCCCAGTCAGCCAAAGGGGACCAGCACACTTTCTCGTTTCATTTCTTAAACCTGGACAGTAATGACCCACATCTGAGAAGCAGTGTCCCGCAGGAAGACAATCATAAACAGGAAGGGACACAAAAGGAAGCGAGGCACAGACCAAGACAGGGGAGACTGAAAGAAATCCTGGTCCCATCCTGACCCTGGAGATGACGCAGCCATGGAGCCGCAAGCTGCTACCAACAAGGAACATAGCAGTACACTTGTGGAGGTGAAAAATCTGTTGGAGAGACTCACACTGTAAACAGCATCAGAAGGTAACATTAAAGCCCTCTCTCAGAACTGAGAAGAAACACAGATGGGAATTCTGGGGGTCAATCCAAGACGTCCATCATTCAACTAAGGGAATTCCTGTAGAGACGAGACGATCAGAGCACCAAACTCTCAAATAAATGATCTGACAGGATTTCCAAGGCAGGAGGTGATCTGTCAAACTTCAAGTCAGCGAAGAACAATCCAGCACTCCCAGTGGACCCCTGCCATCCCAAGAACATATCTTCATGTCTTAATGGGAAGACGAAGTGGAAATGGAGTAAACACACAGGAGTAACTCTACAGGCAGGTTCAGTGTTTCTTTTACCGCTGGGTATCTTTCCTCAAGGCTCCAGAGCCTAAGCTCATATAAGACTCGCTGTGCGCCCTAAAAGCTGAAGTCTAAGTGGTCAGAGACTGTGAGCGTCGTGCTGTTTCCACCACCTACTCAGGGCAACTCCTCTCCACCCTGAGAAACTGCAGCCTCCTCCTAGCAGCTGGTTTAGCTTAGCGGAATAAAGGCCTGGCAAGCTGCTTCCATAAAGACGACCACCAAGAAACCCCTGGGGCAGCTCTCTGTGGCACATGGGTTTGCCATGGGTCAGCACCACCTCAAAGGCAGCTAACAAGTTTCACCAAAGCTATTAGGCCTTGGATTACATTCCTGCGGAGAATCCAAAAACCAACCAGCATTGAGTTGATCCCAACTCATGGCAGGGCTGCAAACGGTTAACACACTCCTCTGCTAACTGTGAAGGTTGGGGCGTCTTGGAAGAAAGGCCTGATAACCTGCTAACTGTGAAGGTTGGGGCGTCTTGGAAGAAAGGCCTGATAACCTACTGCTGAAAAACCTGCCACCAACACACACAGAGGCACGGGTGCAATGACACACTCAGGGAGCACAGGCATTCCGGCACATGCAGGGAGCACGGACTGGCGCATGGGTGCTGACACACGCAGGGAGCATGGACGGGAGCACGGAGGGGACACGGGCACTCCAACACATGCAGGGAGCACAGGTGGGAACACAGAGGGGCACAGGCACTCTGACACGCAGGAAGGGCGGAAGCACGGGAGGGAGCACGGAGGGGGCATGGGTGCCCCAACACATGCAGGGAGCATGGGTGGGACCATGGGTGCTCCGACACGCAGGGAGCACAGGTGCTCTGATACACGCAGGGAGCATGAAGGAGGCACGGCTGTTCCAACACATGCAGGGAGCACAGGTGGGAGCACGGAGGGGGCACGGGTCCTCCAACATACGCAGGGAGCATGGGCAGGAGCACGGGTGCTCCAACACACACAGGGAGCATGAGTAGGGCATGGATGCTCCAACACACGCAGGGAGCACGGGTGGGAGCATGGGCGCTCCGACACCACAAGGAGCACGGGTGGGGCACGGGCGCGGCACAGGCACTCCGACACACGCAGGGAGCATGGGCGGGAGCATGGAGGGTGAGCACTGAGGGGGCACGGGCGCTGCGACACACGACACACCCAGGGCCTCCAAATAGAGGAACCACGTGGCCGTGGTTCCTGGGCCCTGGCTGGTCCACACAGGACCATGGGGTTGGGCTCCTCAGGGAGTGTATCCCTCTTCAGCATGAATGCCCCCAGCGTCTCAGCAGGCAAACATCAGCCCTCTTCCAGCAGCATTTCCAGCACGCTCTCACAGGGCCGGGATGAGACAGGAAGCTACATTTTTTGCAGTTGCGGGGACAGAGAGGGAGAAGTTTCAGAGGAAAAAAGGTCATGCTTCCAAAGGATTCAAATCACAGATAGTGCCCCCCCAACAAAAGGTTGGGGGCACCAGCACTGGTCAGTGCTCAAGCTGGGTAAGGGAACAGGGTCGCCAAGGTCTCAAGCTGCCTCTAACACTGACCTTACTCCACTTTGTGGAAGATATTTTAAGAGAATCCTATTCGCACATTGTTAACGATTAGTGTGCCACTTCCCACCAGCAACTTGAGAGGAGCCATCCCTTAACAGTGCTTTAGGGTAACACTACCGGCTAACAGGTAGGCCTAACAAGGAACGTGGGGGGTTTATCCGTTTTAAGTGTTTTCGGTTCTCCAGACGAGTGTGACACCAGGCCCGGCATGGCTGTGCATCGACAAGTGGTGGGTCTGCAGACGGTGGCACCAAGTCCGGAGAAGGGAAGCGTTTGCCCACGGGGAGGGCGGGGGGCAGCGGGGTGCAAAGTCGTGTCATCGGCTGCCGGGCACGGCCAGCATCCCCGGCTCTGCGGCTGCTGCAGCGGCCTGCTCTCCGCCGCGGGGTCCCGCCACGCACTCCCCAAGCATGAAGGGCGACTGCCCGCCGGTGCATGTCGGACGCCGGCGGGTCCGGGACTCACGCACTCCCACGTGCACGGCCATCCCGGGCACCCACACCGGCAGCGAGCCCGCTGCCCGAAGGCAGAGCGCGACTTTCCCTCAGGTTCCCAGGCTGAAAGATCTACGGAGCCACACTGCCACCTCTGGAGCGGCCGAGGGCCTGGAACCGCCGACCTCTCGGGTGGCGGCCGAGCACCTCACCACTGCGCCCCAGGGCAGCGCCCAGCGACCTGCTCTGAACCGGGACCAGGTCCAGCTCGTACCTACCCACGGCGGCTGAGGGGGAAAGCCACAGATAATGGCCACAAAGTGACAACGGGGCAAACGACCGTGCGCGCCCGGCCCCGACGGCCCGTGTGCGGGATCCCGGGCTCCGGGTCCCGGGCCGAGGCGGCGAGGACCGTTGGCGGCGGCGGGGACGAGGA